GGTTTCCTAAATGCTATTTAAATGAAACAGTTGCCAACTATAGCTTATAGCAAAACAGCATGGATATGAAATAAACCAAATGAATACTTTGCCAGATAATCTGACACATTCTAATGTATTCAAATCAAAACATTGCACAAATCACAATACACTGTTTTACACCCTGCAAATGTCTTGAATAAATGGTCTTTGGACAGGCAAGGCAGATTCTATTCATCAGTACATTGACAAAGGTAAAGTATCTAATTTACAAGCTGAAGAGCAATACCTTCACAGTGCACAGAAAACATTGTATCTAATACACATTTTAACCTCTTGCAGAAACAACTCAGTTATCAGCATGACCAAGACATGTAGAAACATACTTTTTCTAAAAAACATGTTACTTTTTCCTCACCACTGCCCAAGACTCCAAGAAGGATGGACTCGAATATCTGCTTTTGACTCATGCCTTACACAGCACTGACACTGAAAGGAGTACCATGTTCCCATTCATCAGAAGCTTAAATTCTCATTGCTTTACAACAGGAAAAAGCAAAATTTCAAAATGGTCAAAAAATACTGAACAATAAACTGATATCTTTGCTTCAGAAGAAAACCTCTTCTGTCAAAGTTAGTACAGAACTGCACAGCGATATACAGACATTGTGAAAATGAAAAAACAGAATTATGTGGTACATTCAAATTTTGACCTAAAAAAAAAAAAAAAAAAAAAAAAAAAAGCCAAAGAAATGAGGGTCAAGGCGTCCTAGTTGCCAGTAGTGCCTTCATGAAAAAAACCTTAATTTTGTGCTTCTTGGTGCAATACAACCTCACGCAAATCCTACACCTACTGGAATAGCATTTTTCCTTCAGAAAAAGGAAGAACTACAATAATTGCACTGAGGTGATTACTGATTTTTGGCTGACTGCTTTGTCTTTCAATATATCTTGGTTCATAAATAACAATTACAGCACACTTATAATTATAATGCATGTTTTATATGGAGTCAAGTTTGCTTTTTAATAAGGTATTTTTATCTTTTAAATTAATTAGATTGCACACTGAAGGTCTAGTATTTTTATATACTATATATATACACTATATATGTTTATATACTATACATATATACTATATATATCCATGACAATTTCTCCTTTTCTAACTTGAAGGAAAATTTAGTTCAGAGAGGCAAGCATAGCAGCTCAAGTATGGGCACTGCTTCTCCTTTTCTTTCTCTGAAGATTAGCTAAAATTGCGTCAGACTTTAACAAAGGGCATAAACATAATTATGTTAGTGATCCTTCTGTCATGACTTGGCCCAACATTTATCTGCCAGTCAATATGTTTACTGATACATATACACGTAAGAATATTTATGGTTGCACTTGATCTTATTTTAAAAACTCTTTACATATGCAAAACACACATTTAAGAAACCACGACACTGAATTAAAGGCATTTTTTTGTGTTTTCTCCAAACAGCAGCTGGTATTTTAGAAGTTTTACAGCATAGTTCAAGCATTGCTGAAGCACTGTTTCAGAACTTCAAAGTTATTCAGGCTCCGGATAACCTTGATTCCTTCTTCCCTATTCATGTCCAAAACAAACACAGGAACTTGCATATGCACAATACATACTCTTCACAGAAGTTCCCTACCAGTAGTTCTTGTACTCAAGCCCAAATCTCTACACGGTAAAGGCAGTTAAGTTAGAGACTGCTTGTACACATCTGTAGTATTTGCCCCTTCTTTCTGGTTTAGAAGTGTTATCAGAGAACAAATAAAAGAAGATCCAGCAAGAGAAGCAGATCCTTTGTAACATCTCCTGCCAAACATCCTATAGCTGTATTAACATTGAAGAAAAAAATCTGTATGTTCAAGTATTTCATTTGTATACTTATGCCCTAGATGCAAGATGAGCAGTGTTGCACATACTTTTTAAGGTAGTTAACAACCAGGGCTCTCAGCAGTTTTTCAGAACTTGTAATTCCAGAATGGTTTTCTGCAACAAATACAGATTTCTGCATAAATCAAGTTTGGTTATAGTTCTCTCACAGGATAAAAGACAGGCTGTGCGAACACAGGGTAAGTAACTTATGTTCCCTCTTCCCTTTGGCTTCTTTCCCCAGTTCTTCAGTTTAAGAGAGCTGGATTGCATACCCGCTGCTGATGAGTCACATTCTGGGAATACCAGATGTTGTTCTTAGTTTAATGCATTCATTTCACTTTTCTGTAAAGTTTACCATTCAGTAAAAAACTAAAATTGGCAACATACTTAGGACTTCCTAAACCCTAACAATGTGTCCGTAACAGCACAGGTCTTTTAAATTGAGAAAAATCAAACAAAAACTAGTGCTTGGACACACAACTCTAATATAAGACTACTCATTTACACAGTGATCTGTTAAAGCAATTACATTAAAGATATCACAGCATTAAAAACAAGCCATTCAATTCACTGTCCAAATTCAGTAATTGCAGACTACATCAGACAGAATGTGATATTCACTCTTTTTTAGCATTCAATGTGTAAAAAGGTAGAGATTCCACTCAAACCTCATGCAGTAAACTGCTCTGGAGGTGCACGAGAACTGCATGTCATAACTGTGTATCCCATATACAGTAATCTGAAACTGGTGCCTTGGCGTTCCTAACTGCGTTAAGTCTCGGTATTCAAATAAGCAGTCACACTTTCATGTCTAACACTTTGAATTCACACTTATAAGGATGCTTAGTGCATTAACAGTATGCAACATCTTAAAGAAAGTACTTAGTATTTTACAGTGTCAAGGTCTAATGATGTTTCCACAGATTGAAGCACAGTGATGAGTAGATTTTTCTTTCCAAAATCTTTCTACTAAGCAAGCAGTCTGGAATGATCCATTATCTGCCTGGTAAATCTGGCTATTTAAAGGCAGAACAACATTTTTTGAATGCAAGCTCTGGAAAGTAATTTATATTCCTATTTTCCATTCCCTTTTATTGCAACACATTTTCCTGCCAAAATAATCCATGCAAGAATGCATGACTGAAGGTATCTGCTCAGAGTTCAATAGTGTACTGTCAACTCCCTCAGTCTGATGTATGACTCTTAATTGAGAGAACTGCCATCTTTATTTCTTTTTTTTTTAACAGATTTTTAGAAGTAGCTCCAAAGGAAAAAGATAATGAAGAATAGCTGAAAATGCTTGCATCTCTAATGCTCTGTGACTAGTTCAATGAAAGCTAGCAGTCATCATTGAGGAAGACAAAGCCTTTGCGTTCTACAAACCAAATATAGCTACAATTCTTTACCTTCTGTTGACTTTGCAGGGACACCTGAAACTGGATAGGTAATATTGACAAACACCATTCACACAACAGTAACTGAATGCTAAATCTATGATATCTGATGTGTTCTAAACAAGCACTAAGGCTATGACAGTAGTTAGATCCTCCCTTTGCTAGAAGGAGCAAGATGAAATAAAGAAGTCATACCATTGTCCAACATTGCATTTTTTCCAAAATAAATATACACTAAAAGAAAATACTTGGAGAATCCACAGGAATGCATATTGGGACTGAAAAACAAACACTTATAGATTAATAGATTCAAACAGGAAAAAAAAAATCTGAAAACTGACTACATATAATACTTTCTACTAAGAAATCCTACAGTAACCATGCTGTTTGCAGTAATAAATACTTGCAGGAGTGAGTCCTAAATTTACTTGTACAATATCTGAGCAAAGTTTCAAAGTTGAAACTTGCAGTTTCTTGACAATGTCAAGAAATGTCAATGCCAGTGTCAAGAAATGTCAATGTCAAGCAGTTGCTTGACAATGAAAAAATAACATTTCAAAAAAACATAGTTATTAGACAGTAAGTATTCTCATGACGACTCTTCTTTTGGTTACCTAAGTCTAGGGTTTCCATCCTGTATTTGAATCCCATATTCAAAACACTACTATGTAACAGACCACATAACACAACAAAAGCATCTTTTTCAGCAACACTAAGCTTTTATTACAAGTTTTCTTCCTCCAGACCACCAAAAGTGCACATGCTGTCACAGTTTAATGACTACAAAATGAACTAAATCTTTTGAGACTCTAGTGGGAAATGTCAGTTTACAAAGGATCAAGAGCATTGAACTACTGCAATCAAATCCACCTGTGCTTAACAAAACTATAAAACAATGACATTGGTTGGTAATCTGTGTAGATTCCTATAAGCAACATTTTGCAACAGAACATTTTAGAAGTAATTCACTCAATACAGATGTATAAAGAATCACTAAATGTGTGGGAGAAGAGTAAATTTCACTTGCAAAAGGATCCTTCAAAATACCAAGCAAGGAATTTGGGGGGGGGGGGGGGGGGGGGGGATGGGGGATGTTACACAGATTCATATAGATTGAATTGGTGGAAACCATATTTCCTCATGAGGCCACCATTCAATCTAAATGATCATATGCTTGCTCTAAGGCAGTTTCTGCAAACATGTTTGTGGTATTTGAACAAGTAATACAAACAGTTGATCACTGGTACGCTTATCACATTTTGTGCTTTAGGTTCTTTTCACAGCTCCAATCCATCAAGAAAGAAAAAAAAAAAAACAAAACATGCACACATCACTCTTTCATATCCTTAGCTAAAAGCTGTCTCAAGTCTTGCAGTAATTCTTAACCGTGTTGCTTAGGCAGAATATTCCTGTTCGTTGCTTTGTGGTTTTTTTTTTACAGCATTTCAGCATTGTCAGATTTAAAAACCAGTCACTTTGTTTATCACTCTAAGCTTCAATTCACTGCCATTTCTCATATGTCCTCCCCTTGGCAATTCCCTAGCTCTGTAATGTAAGTTTTACAAGTGTTTTGGAGCAATCCAAGTCCCCATCAAGACCAGAAGCTGAAGAAACAAGGGGAACACAGGGTAACTGATGCTATATCCATTGCCCCAAAGGGTAAGGATTCACCACATAGGTCATCTAGCACCAGAGACAAAAATCACACCTTCACCTTTGCTCAACAGTTTGCTTACCTCCCGCAATTCCAGTCTCTGAGCCACTGCTTCCAGACTTTCCTGGCCTGTGCTTTCCACCGATAGCGTGAACTCCACAAATTCGCTGTTGAGCAGCTGGATGCGAGCCACCAAGCAACTTTTGCTGGATACTGTGTAACGTCGAGTTCGTTTCAATTTTAACCCAAAAGGTAGAGGCATCTTCTTTCTCCCCCAGGGATGGTTTCTGATAAAAAGCTACTTCCACCAGGACCTTGAGAGGGACAAGTAGCTATCTCCTCTCAGAAGGCAAGGAGCTGTAAAGTCTCCAGAGATCAACCAGCAGCAGCGCATCCATTAAAGACAAGCAAGTTTTCCACCAAGAGACAAGTAGAAGGGGCATCCACTAAAATCCTAGTAAGGGGCAAAAGAGAAAGAGAGTAAATACAAGAATCAGAAACAACAGTTTGACTGAAAGGCGTATGGTAACATGGGAAAATTAACATGTATTTTTTTTTAAATCTAAATAATCAGTCTACTTCTCCAAAATGCAGAGCTGTTTGCATTCAAATAATGAAATAAGCACCAGAGTTTCTGGTTTTTCCACAAACGACACTGGTCTTTGGCAAGTTGATTCTTCTTTTTAAACTCACAGATGAATAATGAGCCTTAATCAAATGTGGCTTCAATGCCTTAAAATATGTATTTCTAAACTGATTCAGTATTTAAATGAAATACATCTATGAAGTCCGTGTTACCTAAGGTATTTCTAATACTGAACAAAGCCACTTTCTGTAACTGCAGAACTGGAAATCTGGGTTGTTTTCCAGAGCGGAGCGGCATGCAGCCTCAGCCGCTACCCCTTGGATTAAACACCAACCCAAGCCCCATAAGTGATTAAGGAAGAAAACAGAAAGGCAGGAAGAGAGGCACTAAAGCTTACACCTCAGCTGTTTCCTACCAGACAATTAAAACCCAATTCCTCTCATTTTCCCTGCATTACAGCTAGCTGCACTATTATTTTTCATGTTAAACTGCTGTATGATGCTTCAGGCTTTGCTTTGCCTTGCAAAGAGAGTATGTAAATTCTGAGAACTATTTATTTCCTAATTTTTCCTTGAAAAACATGCTTATTCCCAGTCAAAAAGCAGCCACCCATTTCTCCACCTTTGGCAAACACTCCACGCCTCCTCTCCCGCCAACTCCTCAACAGACAAGCTTCCCCCTGCTGTTTCAGGTGCTTTCTTACGGCGTGCGCCCCAGCTTAGGAAATCTGTCACTCGTACTAGCGGTGGTTTTCAGCAGCGAACGCGAAATAAAAGCATTAACTAAATACAGGGAGGGCCTGCGGAAGTAGACGAGAAGTGTGGCGAGAGCGGTCTCTACAGCGAGGCTGGGCACTGATGTGAAAGCGCTTCACACACTTAAGGTAAAGCCGCCATCGCCTGAGGTGAGGGGAAGCAATCGTGGCGAGCCTCCCCGCTGCGCCACCAGCTCCAGGTCGGGCCGGGCAGCAGGCCCCGGACGCCCTTGCAAGCACTCCCCGGCCTTCGCTGACCGAACACCGCAGGCCGCGCCCCGCGCCCGAGGAAAGCTGCCCTTCTTCCCGTCACTTGGCTGCTGCGGTCTCGGGGAGCTCCGCACCGGGACCTCTAGCGGCAGCGCCGCTATGGTAAAAGACAGCAAGGAAGCACCCCCGGTTTGTTGTGGTTTGGTTTTGTGTGTTTTCAAGGCTGGTGTGCACTAGTACCACGTTTTAAAAGGCGTAATTTGATTTCTGAAGGCTCTTAGAACTATCAGACAAAACCAAAATGAGTGGGGGAATCAGAAGAAGTAGCCTTCATAGCATACCTGTTTTTAAAAACTCAAAGGTACACCTATAAACAGATTGAGAGCCTCGTGCTACTTGTACATTTATATACACAGAAATTTAATGTTACTCAACATAACTGCAGACTCTTTAGGTTGAAAACCCTCATCAGACTCCCTAATCCCTCATAAGCAGCACAGCAAAGACAAAATGAGGCAGAAAGACACAAGGCCTAAAATAGGGAGAAAGAAGGGGCAGAATGGTTTTCCTCAATGGCATCTTTATTACCCTACTCCAGAGAATGACCGTAGCATATTTCTTGAAGACGTTTACAATAATCTGGAAGCAGATTATTCGAGTCCTTCAGAATCCCCATTCTCAACAGATACCAACTAAAATCTCAATTGAATTTAAAAAAAAACTGACCCAAATACCAACTATTTTATTTTTGGGTGCAGCTGCAGCATAAATAACAACTGATAGCAACAGGTTTCCCTGAAAAATTTAGGGATACAAAGGGAACCCTCATTTTATTACTCGCTCTGCACTTTGATCCTCCAAATCCTGCTCCCCTAGAGCAGCATTGCAGGGAATGCTCTAACAGACAGAAGGTTTTTGCTTCCTGCCCACTGCCAGCAGAAACTCACACTGGGTTAATTCCTGACAGCATAACTTTTGGCTGACTGACCTCAGCTCCCATCCACAAGACCTGTTTTTCAATATATTCTTTGCACAGTTACATACTTTCTTCAATGCTACAGCAATGAAAAGAAACAGCTCACTTGTCTTTTTGAAAGCTGCAGTCAGAAGTGCAGTCTATTTTAATCTCAGTTTTTATGTAGTACCACTGAATATGAAAGACTTTCAAACTTTTGTGCCCCCATCAGGGCCTTAGCAGTGTATTCTTAGGGCATGGAAAAAGTTAAAACATTGCTAACCAGATGCTGACCTGACAGTGAAGTTTCCAAACCCTCTAATGCTGACATGAGGGAATCTCAGACTTTCAGTTATTTGGCTATGTGGACAGGTTGCAATGGAAGCATAAAAGTAAGTTAGAGCAGAATTTTCAGAATGTGCCAGAAGCTCTCTTCAGGTTATGATCTGTTGTTTGCATTTATTGCTCTACTGAGCATTTATCCTAAATTATTTCATTTTAGCTTAGTACATGCCTGACAATCTTCATTACTTCTGAAACATGTTCATAACACAAAAAACTTAACCTAGCTTCCACTTCATGTCACAAAAGACCAACTTAAATACAGAAATTCCTGACTCATAATAAATATTGTAGGACAAGGGCAAGTTTGATGAGTAACACTGAGGAATCATTCAGCAACTTCTACTGTGAACCATGTGTACTTCTTGCAAACACAGCTGTGCTGGTTTTATTCAGCAGCTGTGCATTCTGCAGTGCTAACTGCCTTCTGCATTACTGTAAATTCAGACACACCTGCATTGTTATAAAGCTACTGCAGAAAAACAAATTACATACTGCCAGGAGTTACAAAGCCAATTGATGACCTCTACAATACATTTTTTTAGCAAGCGTTTATTTAGCAAGCCTGGAATTTTCATGCAACACCTTAAAATGTCTTTAGTGGCCAAACTTCGTACATACAACACAAACATGTAGTTTCAAAAAAGTTACATCAGAATTTCAGCAACATGGCTGTGACTGACGCATGGTTACTGAGCGCTGTGGTTATCTCTCCCCTTTACCTACACCTCCCACTCCCTCCTCAGCAATTAGCATTTTACTTTACAAAGGTTTTTTAAACATCCTGCATGAATGGCAGCATGCAAAATAAAACTGCAATGTGTAATAATGAAAAAGGGTTCCTATTATTTCAAATGCTTAAAGTACATATATTTATTTCAGAAATATTTGGGGAGCCAAAAATAATCAGAATACTCCACTCTCCACTTGTTTTACTAGTTAATCTTTGACATGACTCTTGGGCTGAAAGAGCAGAAATTAAGCACTTATCTCAAACCTTCCCTACCTCCAGAAGCACAATTCTACAGCCTTTTTAAAAGTTAATGTTTGAAACTCTTCAGTCCTAGGGTACAGAGCAGGGAAGATCACATTCTATTTTTTTTTTACTATGCCTGCTGTTTTCCCCTTACCTTGTGCAGTGATCCAAAGACACCAAGTCTCCTTTCACATATGTATAGCCGTAAAAAGCACACAGCACTCCAAGACTTTTTCTCCCGGAACCATCTCATCTGTATTCCTCAGGAACTGACTTACTGTGCTCCTCTTGGCCAAAACAGCTGCTATCTCGGCTAACCCACCTTCTTCTCAGATAACTCATAGTCAAAACATTCCTCACTTCCTGTCTCAAAAAACTTGCTCTGAGTATCATTCCACTGGGTAAGGAGCTGGGGGTGGAAGAAAATACTACAACAAAATAAACCTGTGCCAGACAGCTCTTCGGGCAGCCTCCTTCATGTGACGCTGTGCAGCATGACCGCAAACTGCGTTCTTGGGGTATTTTCAAATCGCCAGTCCCTGTGTGCCTCTGTGTGTGTGCATTTAATTTCTTTTCCTGGAGGCGTTCCCCTCGCTCTATCCATGCGGAAGGATACGCTGAAAGAATTAAAGCGAAGGCCCGTATGCTTGTAGCCCATTACCTCAGAGAATTGGAATGCCTGGCAGGGAGAATGTCAGCAATGAACAGCTGCTTCTCTGGCTACAGGAGCATTACAGAAATAGGGGTTACAACAAATAGCAGGCAATCCTTGCTTTTTAAAATCATATGATCGTTTATTTTAAGCCTTTCAAATTAAGGCAAATCTCTTACCAAAATTCTGTTGGTTTTATTTTCACACCGCTTGGAAATGTTTTCAAGGTTTAATCTGTATGTGCCATAGCAAATGACCTATGCACATACATTTATGTCTGCAGCTGAAAAAAAGTAAGTAAGTCGTTGCAAAGTTTAAGCTGTTGGTAATATATACAGGAAGAAAATGCAGACTAAAGACTGATCTTTCAGCCCTTGTCTGGACTTAAAACTCCCAGAGGTGTCAGTAGAAATTATACCCTTAATAACAACTGTCTTTGCAAGGCTTATATGCATATCAATTAAGTAATATTTATAATGTTTAACAATCATGTAAGGGCTGCAGTCCAGTGCCACAAACACATGGAGACCACAAACATATGGAGACTTGTGTTTGCACAAGTGTGTAATCAGCGGTTGTATGCAGTTTAGAATTTTACAGTTCACCACATTTTGTGAGCCAGGCAACAGTATATACAAACTTGAAACGGGTCAGGGATGAGTAAGAAGGTAAAGCGAGTATGTGAATGCTGACTCATAATTGTAAAACATAGAAAGTGTTTTGGCAATGTAAAGAACACAAACATGCTACTGTCTGAGCAGGTCTAACCTGCAGACCTACTATGCAAATGGCATGTTACTCGGGAGGACACTGATCTCAGCTGAAATGTGTAGGTAATTTTGTACTACAGTGAATTCTTTTAGACAAAAGTGGTCTTTCCTCAGATCAGGGGAATCTCTCTTCCCCCCTTCCCCCCCCCCCCCCCCATCTATGCATCAGCCGTAGTTATGATGAAGCAGTCCATAAGTCAAAATAATAACTAATTAAGGGGAATTTTATATTGAATAAAATAAACTATGAACTAACCTAAAACCCTTCTCTTATGGCATCTACTACCTAAAACCCTTCTCTCATGGCATCTACTACAGGCCAGAACTACAGTTACTTGCCAGAGAAAACTCCAGTGCCATAAATGACAAATTCAAGCCATGAAAATTCAGAGTAAAAGAGGCAGCCCCTCCGATTTCTAAACAAGTCATACTGGAAACAAGGTCTCAATTCTCTTATCTGTCACATTCCTACTCTAAACCAAGATCACAACCATTTCCTGCCTGACTCCCTGCCTAGAAGTTGCATTTCTTGGAGTTTTCTTACTTTCCATAGTTAGTCCTTGCTGCATTTTCTTTCCTTGCATTTACATTGAAAACAACACCTCATCTTGACATTGTCAATGTGCTCCTCCACTGCCTACATTTTCTCCTTTTGAAGCTCACCAAACCTCTATCCCCGAATAATTTTTTTCTCTTCTGCTTCCTATTACCCCAGTTTGTATCCTGAATTTGTAGGTTTCTGCACTTTTTCCATTTTGCCCACCTAACTTTTTACCCCATCATCTCTCTACTACCTCCAACTATCAACTGTAATAAAAAGGACAAAGAAATTAAGGTGTCCATTAACATGTGGTGAACGCTGATAAAGACATAATCAAAAAGACAGACAGTGACAGCCTCAGGGCACTCTTCTGTGCTTCTGCTTCTCCCCTTTAGCCCCTGATCAACACTCATGACATGCATGGGTAGAAAAACCTGTGTGTTTTGCAGTACTTTTTATTGTCTTGTTGAAGATTACAGGAGGAAAAATTAACATCCTACAGCTGAATGTTGCAGCCCTTGCTCTGGAAGTACAAAGAAAAGTTTCTGCCTGTTGGGTTGAATACTGCCTGCCCACAGCAGAACAGGGATAAACCAATTTTGATTCTTACTGACGTCTTCCCTTCTGGGCCAGTTTTCTTTTTTCTGCATCCTGATCCAAGTAGGTGATGGCAGTTGAGTGTTATCAGCCAACAGGGTGAAGGCTGACACAAGTTTCCATCTTGTTCCGATTCTGGGAACTCTCTCCAGGATCAGATCTTTGCACTGACCAACAGTTAGATGGAAGGCTGGCAGTGAGCCAAACTGGAAGCAGAATCAGCCACCCTCCAGGCAGAAAAGCGGTCTGCATGTATATACTCTTCAGCCTAGCATGGAGTTATCCATTTGTGTTAAACACACAGGCAGGATAATCCAGAAACTATGAGTTAAAGGGGTATTCCCAGGGTGCTGAAACAATGAAGAAGTCATGGAAAAATACCTCCATTTACTCACTAGCCATGCAAAATTGACATAATGAACTGAAAAGTCAGACTACCTCTGTTTTTCATCATTCCATTTATTTGTGAAAAGAAAAAAAAAGATAACTGGGTCTTTATGCATCCTTATGTATTAATGGGGAGAATGCGTGCTGCTAGAAAAATAAGCATACAATATGTCTTTGAAGCCTGAAATTTCATATCTCCAAGATTAATTTTTACTTGTAAGTCACTGTAAATTTTTTTTTAATAGAAATTTAAATAGAAATTTAAATCTTTAATTTTTGTACTTTTTCAGAAAAAGCATTACTATTAAAAGTAACTTTATAGTTAATCTTGTAGTATTCATAGTTAGGGTGAGCCATGTGGCAGAACTCTATAAATCAGTTTTATAAAAACCAGGAATGAAGAAAGAGGCAACTTTAAAAAAGCTTAATGTTACACTCGAATGATTAAGAGCAGACCCTCTGATACCCAACTACTTCTAAATACGCTAGAAGATACAAGTATTTTCTTTACCCTCGGGCCAGACTGCACAGCGATTCCTGACTGCCCACTGCTTGACAAGCGGTAAGCGCAGTGATAGACGGCCCAGGGCGGCCTCCCAGTTGGGGCTGCGCGTCCTCCTAATCCCCGCGGCCGTGGCTGCAGGGGTACACCGGTACGCCGGACGCCCATGCGAGCCGGGCATAGGCGGCATTAGGTTAGAGGGGCAGAGGTCGGTGCTGGCCTCGAGCACCAGGCAGCTGGCTAGGGCGGCAGCTGGGAAACGGGCAAGGAGGGACGAGGAGAGCCGGCAGGAGTTGCTGAGAGACGTTCTGAGGGACCTCGGGGACCTTCCGCCTCCACCTTGGTCCCTGCTGGCCTCTGGGCCGCCACTCGCCCTCCCGAAGGGGCGGCGGCGGCGGCGGGGAGGCACCGGCGCGGCCCGAAAGGGGGCGCCGCAGGTGGAGGCCGTGTACTCTCTGGCGTGGCGCTCCGGAGCTGTCGCGGCCTGCGGCGGGAGCGGAGCCTGGAGGCCGCGCTAGGAGGGGGTACGGCACGACGGGAAGGATCGGATCGGCGCGACCATGGAGATCGGCACAGAGATCAGCCGCAAGATCCGGGTGAGAAAGAAGCAGCCAAGCCGTGCACTTTCCACTCGCGGCAAGAGCCTGACCCCGCTTGCGTGCGGCAGGCCAGGCCGGTGGCTGAGCCGCGGAGGCGGCGAGCGCGGTGCCGTGTGTGCAGCACCGGGCCCCCGTCCCCCGGCGGGAGGAAACGGCGGGGTGAATCCCCAGCTGGGCCGCGGTTACCGCCAGCTCCCGGCGAAGGGCGGCCTTCGGCACGTCCAGGAGAATTGTTTTGGGAGGCGGAGCCGGACTCGTAGCCCGAAGGGCAGCTGCCGTCTCTTCCCCGGAGCTGTCGTTCTCGGTCTGCAGCGGCCCGGAAGCGGCGGCTTACCGGGAAAAGGACCAGCCGTAGCCCTCCACTCTGGTATATAAGCCCCTGTTAGCACAGGTCTTGTCAGCTGCTCCTCCTCAGCAATTGCAGTTTGAACATCCTGGCGGGTGTTTTTCTCTTGCTGAGCCGAGAATGACATTTTATCGAACCATACGGGATTCGTTTTCTTTGCACCTTAGGAGCCCGTCTGGTCTGTGCTTAAAAAAGGACAGCTGGGACTTGGAGGTTCTCTGGTAGCACCAGGAACTGGTATATAGGAAATATTGTAGGGAGTGTGAGATTCCTGGCAGTTCTCACTACTCTGCTGTCAGTCACTCACTGTTAAAACATCTATAATCACAAGCAGTGGAGAACAGGAAAAGTAACATGTGAAGCCAGCGTGTTCAAACAGTTAATAAGAAAAACTGCTAAGTTTTGAAGTTAGCAATATTTTTTTTCTCCATCTCTTAAATGCTATTTTATTATTTTTTAGGGTGCTATAAAAGGAAAGTTGCAGGAGCTGGGGGCTTATGTGGGTAAGTTTTATCACATGTTTAACAGTCTTCTTTAGGTTCATTGTTGTTATATAGGAAAGTACCAGCTAGTTAATGCAACAGCTTATATACTTGTTATTACTTGTGTTACTGCATACAGAAGCCTTACACATCAGATGAATTATCTGAAGTGCTGTGTCTGAGTATTTAAGGAAATTTCTTTGAAACGCAAGTAGAAACATAATATAAAGCAAGATCCTTGCAGATACAGCAGCAGTTACTTGTGACTACTCTGAGATGGAGTCAGTCCTCCTTAGGCATCTTTTCAACTGTCTTTCGAATTCAGGGTGAGACATTTGTCAATATTAGGAGAAACAATATTACTGTAAGACAGAGATAGGCTAAGTGTTTTGAGAGATGAAAAGGCCATGTCAGAAATGTTATGTAGGACAAATCTGCAAAATGCAAGAGCTTGACTGTTAAGGGGAAGACCAAGACATACGTTAAGCTAATGTTGATGTAACATATGTAGCTGAATCTTAGAGGCAGGGTGAGATTTTCTTTTGGGTTGTGAGAAAAGAGATATGAAGACTGAAACAGGTTGCCCAAGGAAGTGGTAAATGCTCTGTCCCTGGAAGTGTTCAAGTCCAGGTTGGACAGAGCTTTGGGTGGCATGGTCTAGTGTGAGGCATCACTGCCCATGGCAGGGGGGGTCGGAGCTAGATGATCTTAAGGTCCTTTCCAGCCCAGACCATTCTATGATTCTATGTTTGATCAAACTAAATTGAAATATGTGCTCAAGAAGCATGCCTAGTGCCCTCAAGCAGCAAATGAGCCATTCAGACCTTCAGAGTAGGCCAGAGCTACGCCAAAGTAAGAAGCTGAACACCAAACTCCCCAACCCCAAAAACCTGTTTTGTTTTGTTGTTTTTTTTTTCCTAAATCCAGGATTAAATGGATATTGTACTTAAGAGCAGCTGATATTTTTTTTACAGCAGTAAAGTTGGTAACTTTACAGTGTTCTGTTGGAAGTAGAACGCCTCAGTCCTGCAACTGCCTTGTTGTCTGTGATACTTCTTTGGTTTCAGGTGAAGGACAGGAATTGAGAACATAGTTCACAGATCCTGTGAGCTGCAGGACAAAGTTCAAAGTTTGTAGTAGTTTGATCTTGAATTCATCTTGCTTCCTGTTTAAAGGGGGCATTGTATTTAAGGAATCAAAATGCATTGACTCATAGAAAGGAATTACCTATGAGCTGATGTTCTGAACTCACCAGGTGCCAAGGAGCCATGCTTAGAATCTTTTCATTGTAAGGTTGTCTTTTTTCACCACCTCAGAAGTTGTCTTTTGCAGTGACTCATTTTTTGTTTTGTGGATTTTTTTGTTTTGTTTTGTTTTTTTTTATTATGATTCCAGGTTTCAATTCCCCAGTTCTTGATTCTTTGTCTGCTTTTTCCTGGATTTCTGAAAAAAAAAAAAAATAACACTCTTATGTTGGAATACCTGAATAGTGAGAGTGGCTTGCAGGTGCAGCGTATGAATGTTATTTCTATAATCTAGGGTATAGATGAATTATTTACATGGTAAAGAGAAGATACGCAAATGTGTATTTTGGTTTCTGTTTAAGATTTTTCATTCTTTAAGTCTTTTTAATATTGTGTACAGACCTCACTTGACAAAATGAGTACAG